AAACATTAACGCAAATTGAAGACAGCTGGAAAATACTTAATCTATGTACAATAGAGTTTGCCAGATAATGGCATAGTATTGCCATAGCATCGCTCAAATGCAGTAATAAAATCTTGTCACACGATTGACTAATGATGCAGTTGCCACTCCATTAACTAACTTGCGAAGAGATCTCGCATATTTTCAATATTATATATTAATCCGCGATTTTCGATAAATTGTTATAAGAGATACCTTTTTGGTTATTCAGGACAACAGCAGCGACGAGAAAATTTACTATTGCCTCAGGATGTCAAGATTACTATTACGATCAGAGGCTAAACGATATTGTGCCTTTCTTGATTGATTTGCAATGTAACTCTGTGACCAGTAAAATATTTTGAAAATCTGCAATACTTTTATTTCTTCTCCATTTCCGAAAACTAGGCACTTTCATCAGTCAACATTACTGGTAAGAAGATTTCTTCATATATTATGACGAAATATAGCCCGATAACATTATGACGGTTAATGATATAAGGAATTGTAGCTTTTCAACCAAATATTTTGTAAAGACAAAAGCCCTAACTACAGCATTTTGCGAATGTTATGATCAAGCGCAATAGAGTGTCATCCAACGGTTATCGAATATCCCAATCTATGGGCGGGTAACAAAACTAATATTGCAATTGTTTTTGTCGCCATTTTTCCTTGATTGATTGTACAATTAATTTAGAAAGATTATCTACCTCCAAGACGCTACCAAGATAATGCAAGTTTACAAAATATAATGGAAATAGTGCATGAAAAATTTTTTTACATTGCTTCATTGTAGGCTGAGAAAACAAACGTGTGCTGTTTTTCTCTCGCCACACATTGACCTAATGGAAATATTGTTTCAATCTTTTCTGTTGTCATTAGTTTTTCTTCTACTAACGTCAGAAACAATAATTCAAAATTTTTCGGCCATAGCGACAGTGGTCACTGGTTGGTTACGCAGGTTGGTCAAAGGCATAAAATATTTGAATAATCAAATAACCTGCTTACGCAGGTTGGTCGAAGGCATAAAATATTTGACAAACTTGTGGACATTGTGCCTGTTATTATGCTCTGGACGGCTGTACAGAATTTCATAAAATTTATCAAAAAGGAAAGTAGAGGTCAAATAAAACTGGAGAAAGAATTATCATTGTTAAACGTCTGCAATTCTCCATTGCAATTCGCATGAGAGCACGTTGACTACCAACGAAAGCAACAGGCCGTAGTACCTAATGAATAGGTACTGTATTTCGTTCGTTGAAAAGCGCAATGACAAGGTTTGAATTAATTTACACACTATAGCAAGCGGTCCACAAAATTTATCTGCCGACGTAGTGCTTACCATTTGAGTACTACTTTTTTAGACCATGAAATATTTTAATCGTCATTCCATTGCATAACAAGAATATGGCTCATATAAAGGAAAGAATATTAACGTCACATCGTTGGTACTAAGAAGTCACATCTGTAAAGGGTGTACATGTCTGGTCAATGCCCCTAGATGGGAAACCGAAACAGCTACCACCTGCTTAATCTGCAAAGAATGACTTAAGGTAAGTGTCGACAGGCCCTGTTCCAGACTTGGGTAACTTCTGTCGACGCTTAAACACTGCCACAGGATCAGAAACATCGATGACACTCTGATACCCCGCGACCAAAGAGTATGGACGACCATCAGAACTGACTACTTGTCTGACCCACATCACTGTGATGCGTCTCGATCTTTCGATGACTAACGTATCAGAAAGGCTATGGTTAATCTTGTTGGTTCAAGAAACCTTGAAATTTTTCACTCCAACAGTGACGCCGAGTTGCTAAATCTGCTGCTGAAATGAAAGCGGCTCGCCGGTGATACATCAGACTTGATTTAATCTGTCAATAATTTTGACACATAAATTTACATCACATCGCCGAGGAAAAAATTCTGTGTGGACAGCTGCACACAAACTGGACCCTTCTTCCACTTGAACGAAAGGCTCACGCAAAAAATGCACACCAAATTGAGAGAAAAAGTCCCATTGAGGAGACTGACCGGGGGCACAAGGTTCACGTAATCCGGAAACGAGTTGCGAGTCGCTAAATTCCCAATCAAGCCACACAATTAAGGCATTGAACGTTCCGCTGCTACAACGAAAAAGCATAAAGTAGAGCTAAGTATAAACAGACAGCAAGAAATAACTTACGTTTGAAGAAGAAGAATATTGTCGGTGCTGTACGTGTCCTGTGGTATCGAACTGGACATGTCCCATTCCATTAGTTTAGTGGGATAGCTCAAGGCTTTGCTACCATATTCCCAAATGGGATGTTGTTCAATTTTTGGATCACATTCGTCGATCGCCCCCTAAAATAGACTGTTGTACTGATGACTGCATAAGCAAAGTCAAAACAAAAGACAAAAAACACAACTCGTCTGATCAGTTAGAAAACAATGAAATAAACGAAAGCGAAGCAGCTTATCTCAATTAACGTATCACAATGATCAGAAATATACAATGGACCTTGGTCTACTTAAATGTCCGCCCCTCATGTCTCCAAAACTAAGGAAGCGGTAAAACTTTTGTCGGATTAGTCATGTAAGCCGCGCTTTATTGACGCTATTGTTGTACCATGGGGCCTTGACTTCATTAAATGACCCCCAAGGTCCCCAGAAGCAAGGGGTATGCGAGTCGTTCGTACAGTTGATGTGATGACGTGCATGAGCCGCACCCTAGGGCAGAATTACCGTAAACGAACTAAAATTGTTGAACCAATCCTTAAGTTATAG